ACGGAAAAGCCCTCCCCGAGTGGCTATCGCAGTGCCCCGGGGTAACAGGAGAGGGAGAGTGGGAGAGAGAGAGAGAGGGGGAGTGGGGGAGAGAGGCAAGGACGTTAAAAGGGAGAAGTGAGAGGCTTCAGAGGAACAAAAAAACATGCTGATATTTTACATTGATGGATCATTTAGATGAAAGGAATGCAGAGCTGTATTGGGGCCGATGCTTTGTTTGGGAGGATTCCAGATTTTGGCGTCGCTGGTTTGGAATAAAAAGTTCCAGAAGCAAGGCGCCATCGCGAGACCGTGACAGCAGAGGTCGCAACCGGGTACCCGATACCCGTACCCTACCCGATACCCGGCTACCCGTACCCGGCTGGGTACGGGTACCCGTTTGCGACCCTGGTGCGGCCGGGTACGGGTACGGGTAGGCCGTGAGTCACTGGTGAGTAAACGTTTGTCACTCATTTCGGGTAGGGTACGGGTACGGGTAGGGAACGGGTACCCGTACCCGGCCGGGTACGGGTACGGGTACCCATTTGCAACCCTGGTGCGGCCGGGTATGGGTACGGGTAAGGAATCAAAACCCGTTTGCGACCTCTGCGTGACAGGATGATGATGGGCATGGGGAGGCCTTCATCCAGCAGTGGATTGACCCTGGCTGTAGATGACGATGGTTGATGATTACAGTCCTGAACGATTACACAAATCTATCCGATTGCCAGTTCATACTTAAACGAACGTCGCAGCCTGCCGCTCGACTTTACAAAGAGAGCCCCCCCCCCAGCAACGCCCCCCCCCCCTCTGCACCGCTGACGAGCAGCCGAATTTTCTCCCATTGCCGGGAGAAACCGACGTTTGTCTTCTTCGCCTGCTGGGAGCAAAACGTCGGCCATCGTGCCAAACGACCCGAGAAGACGCATCAGAGAGCTGGGTTTTTTAAAAATCAATTTGCGCGGGAGGGCTCTCGTCATTTCCGCGGGCGTCGTCGCATTGGAACAGAAGCGGCGCGAGTAATTTTCTTTTTTAAATGTCTCTCTTTCTCTGGAGTCTGATGACACAGTCATGAAGAGGTACGCGGAAAGCGCCGCAGCGCTTGGGCCCACAACAATTTCCAGCTCCGAGCTGACCGGCGCCATCTGCGCGCGCGCGCGTAGCGTGCGTCCCTGCGTGTTCTCGCTCGTGCCGCCGACTCGGGAGTTAATAGACATGTCAGTCCATTGTGCGCAGACGTATTCCGGTGTACGGCACGCCGGTGCCCCTGTAGGTCTCTCAAACCGAGCTTGTAATGACTTCGCCCGATTCAAGGGAGCGCCGCAGCGGACCGGGGACAACCGCAGACGCGAGCCGGGTGTCGCTCGTTCTCCTCTGCTGCCCCCCGTAGTCTGGAACTGCCCCCCCCCCTCCGATTTTCACGTAATTTTCACCTTTATTTAAGGCCTCAATCTCGTTAATTTGCAATTTGGGACTTGCGTGTGTGTGTGTGTCTCTCTCTCCCTGTGGTCGCGTGGATTTTTCTTCTCTCCGGGTCCGCCGGGTCTTTTCCCTCCAAATTTCGGATCAACGTGGCGGCTGCTGCTGTAAATGTCCACGTGATGAAAAGCAAACTTTGTCCGGCTATTCATTTGTGGCGGCCAGGTCGCTTCTAAAAAAATAAACGAGCTATACAGTTCAGTGATGCCTTACCTGATCGTGCCATCAACTCCCCCCCCCCCCTTCTCTTCGAGTCCAGGTTCAGGACCCCAAATCCCCCCTCTGCCTTTTATTCTCTCTGCCTGTGCCCGACTGACTACCTCTTTCCATCGACAAAATAAATATTCCCACCGTTGCTGCCCGGTGTCTATAAAACGCGGACAGCGACGGTCAGCCCGTGCGCCTGTGCTTACGCGTGCGGCCGGGCACGGCGTCCATGAGGAGTGAACACGCGGTTGTGTTTTTCGGGGGTGCCATGTTTAACGTGCTGGCGATTGCTCTCATTTGATTTGTGTTTGGAGTTTGCGGGGGGGGGGGGGGAGAATGAGCCGGTGTCACCCCGCTAACAACAGAAGGCGGGCGAGAGTCACAAGGCGCAGCGTGGACGTGACGACGCATCACGCCGTAGATCCTCTCGCCCGTGGCACGTGGGTGTACTTAGTCGCCGATCATTTTTCCAATTCGTGTCCGTCGTGTCTGGTGACTGGTTCTGGTGACGCATGCAGCCACTAGAGGCGCTACATTTTCGCGACGGCGTTCGGCAAAGAATCCGTTCTAAAACCGTGACCCCCCCCCACCCCGAAACATGTACATGTGTGCGTGTGTAGCGTGTGTGTAGCGTGTGCATTTGCGTATGTTTGGTGCGTGCATTGTACCTATTCGGTACGCGCACACGCGCAGCAGCGAGCATGTTGCGCGTGCTTGGAAAAGACTGTAAAAAAATATATTGCTAGAACAAACGCTTGTACGCCTATTTACAATACTGTACGCATGCATGTACGTACATCCATAATGTAAACAACCGATTCAATCATCCAAACAGTGGATAAGGATGTTTGTCTGCGCGCACGATTCCGGCGAAATGCCCCGGCGAAGAATATCTCGGGCGCTCCATTCTCGCTTTTATCTCGAGCCGGAAGACAAATGCGGGAGGAACGTCGCGACAGCAGATCTGGCGCGCACGCTCGCAAGCGCACAAGGGACTCGGGGCCATCGGCCCGGGGGGACCTCCATAGATCAACTCCACCCTCCCCTCCCGATTCGCGTCGCCCACGGCGGCCCGAACTGCGGCGGGAGGTGGGGGGGGGGCCGCACGTCGCGTCCGCCGATCGTCGCCGTTGTGCCCCCCTCCCAGCGTTTCCGCGCAGCGACGAAAGTTTCCGCAAAAAAATAAATGGGCGCCCGCACGCTGCCGGGTCGCGAAGAAGCGGAGAAGCCTTCCCCCCCCCCGAAAAACCTTCACGGGTAAAATATTGGCGAGTCTGTTTCTGAACCCCTGTAAAAACCGTAATCTCTTACCTCACCCCTGACCGTTAACCCGTGCCCCCCTCCCCACCAACCCCTGTGACAAAAGGCCATCGCCCTGTAATTTTGCCGTCACCCCGAACGAGCGATTATAGTGAGCGGGAACGTGGAGGAACTCGTTTCACCGCGCCTCCCTTCGTGGCGCTACGTTTCGGGGAGGGGGAGGGGGGGCCTCGACAGTGAATGTAGCTCACGGAGGGGGCGGCACACCCCGTCTTCTGCTGCGCCCTCTCATCTCGGTGGCCCCTCTGGAATCTAACGTCTGCTTAGCAACTGCGCCGAGCACAGGGGGGTCGGCAACCTGCAGCTCAGAAGGGCCCGCCTCGTGACGTTACTTATTAGGGGCCACCGTCTCGTATTCACCACAGTGCATTGCGGCTCTTGAAATATTTTTGTTTGGTTGCCGACCCCTGGTGCGTAACCCGAACTGCATCTAAAGCCCTTGCCTTCGCCCCTAACCCGCCGCAATTAATTGCAGTTAAATTGCTAACCTCAACGCTAACCTCCGAGCCTTAAAGCCTGAACTCCTAACCTTTTGCCCGAACCGTAACCACCCCCCCCACCTCACTCTAATTGTAACCAAAGTTCCAACCTTAGCCCCGTCTACCCGAAGCCAAAGTAGTCCTGAAACGGTAACCTTTGACCCCGTAGGCCCCCGGACACCTGACACCGGTGCCTTGGCAGAGGCGCGAAAAGGATGCGGGCGGCAGGGCCACCCGCGTTTAATTAGGGGGGGCCCGCGACGGTTGTCGGAATAACCTCTCGCGCGGCATTGGCGGCGGTGGCTCTGGGGGCCCCCCGGCGCGCCAGGTGGGGGGCGGGAGGGGCCTGCCGATGTCGCTCCTCCGTCGTAATGTGGCTCTGGAGAGATGGGCGGCGCGGGCGACGTGGGGAATATGCGAGGAGACGGCGTTAGAAGCACGGCCGCCCCCGCTCACGTTATTGGCTCGCTCGTCAGTCGAGGCAATATTTTTTTCTAATATGTATCGGGGGGCTGCATTAGGGAAATTGGGGCGGAAAGAAAAAAAAATTGGGGAGGCGGGGCGGGAGGAACGAGGGTGGAGAAAGCAGGCGGCGGTGGGGGTGGTGGCGGGGGGGATAGAGTCGAGAGGAGGAGGAAGAGACGGGACGGGTGGGGAGGCTGGGTTGGAGGAGGAGAGGGAGGGAGAGAACGAGCCGTGCGGAAATGTTTCACGACGCGTTTTTTCTCTCCCCCCCCTCGCTCTCCACAATAAAACGGTGATTCATTCAAATCCCGGTCGCCTCAGCCTCATCGGCGTCCCGTTAGGACACGCTGCGTGATGGCTCATTTGTCTGAGCAATTCCTGATGATAATCGTATTCATTTCTTGAGTGTTTAATCCCGCCGTTTCCGCGACGGCGCGATGTTCGCGCCGAGGCTTGTTCTCGCGTTCGCCCGCAGTCCCGGGCTGGACAAGTGCCGGCTCCGAGTTGTCATCACGAAGCTCACTCGCCCGCCCGCCCACCCGCCCGCCCGCTCGCTCTCTCGCTCGCCCACCCACCACCCGCTCCCTCCCTCCCTTGCTCGCCCGCCGTGAAACGGAATGCATCCCCTGTGCCCTCCCTCTTTCGGTCCCGTCCGCCCTCCCCTCTCCACCACCCCACCACCTCCACACAACCCCCCCCCACACTCCGTCCCTCCCGCGCGCGCTGCGTTTCCGCTGTCTGTCGCTCCCCGGTTCCCGACGCCCACTCCGATGGCCCCGGAACGCGTGACGCGACGGCGTGCGCGCGTGCGCACGCCGCCGAGCGTTTGCGTGCGTTCCCCCCGCGCGTGTGTTTGTGTGCATGGACGCTCACGCCGCACGGCGCACGCCATCGCACGTCCCCGTGTACGTCGCGGCACCCGGCTGGCCCGGCCCCTTCCCCGCCCGTCGCCAAATAAATTATTTCCACTATTCGTTTCGTCGAATCCGCGTTTGGCCTTTTTTTTAACGTCCCCCTTGTGTTTGTGTTTTTCCCCCTCCTCCCTCTCTCGCTCTCTCTCTCTCGGCGCAGATCGATTCCCTGCTGTGGAGAAGTAAGGAGGCGGAAGCGGCTTTCCTCGGCCTCTACAAGAGGGTGGCAGACGCTCCAGGTATGGACCCTGCGTGCGACACGGTCACCCGACCTCGCTGGCCAACCGCGATCGCTCCTCCGTGCCGGGGGGGGGGGGCGGGGGGATTGGAGATTCACACGCGGTCACCTTCAGCACCTCATCCCGCACCACCTCATCCCGCACCACCTCATCCCGCACCGTTCCGCCTCGCCGCTCCGCGCATCCCATTCCGTGCGACGGGCCGGGTGCGTGCAGCGTGCGTGCGGGCGGGCGGGCGGCTGCTCGCGAGTGTGGACCCATTGTGCGCCGGTGTCGTGGGTGAACTTGACTGGCTGTCTGCGACGCGTGATGAATTCCCGCTGCTAACGCAGGCGGCGCTTTTTTATTTTCCCCGGCGTGTGCTCACACGCACACACGCACGAGCGTGTGTGCGTCCGTGCGAGTGTGTGGCTTCTCCTCGGCAGTGCACACAGCCCTGTTGAACACGCTCTAAAATGACATCCAAATGTTTTTTTTTTCAACAGAAGCATTTACTGGTTTTGTTTTACCAGTTCCATTTGGGTTGTCACAGTTTAGTAACACTCGGCATGGAGTGTCGTGGGTTATGACGACGACGATGATGCTGATAATGATGATGTTTGCAATTTTTACGATAACGATCGTATAGTCGTGATCTTGCCGAGAAAGCGTCGCTCGGTTAGTGGTGACACAATGAGCCAGCTGAATTGGGCATCGGTGACGGGATGTCGGTCATACGGGACAGGCTCTTGGGTTTAAGGGAAGGCGTCGAGGCAATGTGGGCTCGGGGTCTGGGATCTAGAAAACTTGCGGACAAGTTGGCACGCGGTGGCTCATTGATATGCTTACGTCCACGATGGACGGATTGATTAATGCCTGCAATCCGCTATTATTGATTATTTATGATAATTTGATGCTGTCTCACTTAGGATAATGGATCCGACATAAACTTTAGAAACGAGATGGTAAAAACAAGATGCTAAATTGATACCGGAATCGAATTAGGATCTAGAATCGTGGCAATCGACTTTCTGTGGTGGTGGTGGTTGTGAGCGGTAGTGTCGCGATAAGCGCGCTGCGCTCTGAACCCGGGGACCCGAGTTCGATTCCTGCTCACGACCAACACCAGTGACGATCATCTGAACCGATCCTGGGCCTCCCCTAGGTGGACGCAGCCTCAAATGAGTACCTGGTGCGGCGTGTAAACATCACCACTCGGGAGACAAAGGTGACCCGGCATGGTGCTGGCCACCCACCCCTTCGTGTGCCGTGCCGGCCTTCATAGGTGCTACTCGCTAACAGCACTTGCCCCAACAGTCCGTTAAGGCTATACGGGGGAGGGGAGGGGGGGATCTTTGTCTTTGGTGCGGGCGAGGGCTGCAGAGGGTGAATTATTTACAGGCTCGGTGTGAAGAGCGGAATATCAAGCAGAATCGGGATGCCTGAACTTGAGGGGTTAGGGCACAGGGACGGCAAGGTACAGAGGTGTGGCCCGTCAGAAGATACCTAGGCCAGAAGAGGAGGGGGTCTTGGGTACCGAGATGATGATGATGATGATGGTCAGGAGAGAACTCAAGAGGCCAGGATAAGTCTGATTCGTCAAGAGTAAAAAATGGTAACAGCTAAAAATAAATGATTTGTAAAAACGTAGAGTAAATGAAGCAGACAGAAATTGGAGCAAAAAAATAATAATACCAAAGTGTCACATGAGAAATCTTGAAAATTAAGTCGTCATCATCCGTCATCGTCAATCAAAATCACCATCATCGCGCAACCATCCATTCATTCGCCCATCTGTTATCGAGACTTTTTATTTTCTAACCGGCCGAGAGCCCCATTGAGACTGGAGAGTCGTTTGAAAGGCGGATTTGGCCAGAGCAGACGAAACGGTTTCTCCTTGCGTGCAGCCTCCGGAGAGAAAAAAAAACAACACAAACACCATTCTTTATTTATTTAAAAAGACATCTACCCCCCAAAACACTGAGCCCACGTTATTTTGTGTTCGGTAACCGAGTCTCTGTGGTTCCCCTGTCGGAGAGAGCGGAGAGAAAAAAAACCCCGGTTTGTGCCCTGCATCAGTCAAGAGTTGGTAACCCCCCCCCCTCTTCACCCCTGCCCTCGGCATGACCGCGGCTCATTGGTAGTTCAACCGGCTCACGGGGTAGTTCAGCCGCAGCAGGGGAAGGAGAGGCAGTAGCTAGACAGAGTTGAATGCCACCTGAGCTAGAAATAGCCAGGGGCTGACTAACATCAGACGGATACCACGAGAGAAAGGGGAGAGCTACTGTACGTGTAAATGTATCTATGTTGAACTTCTTTCGCACCATACGTCGCCGACCGTGGTGTATTTATTGTAGGGTACAGAAGAGTAAAACCCCGGCAAGCCCAGGACATAGGTTGGAGCCCTGATCCAGCCAAGTGGAACGATCTGGCCAGGCGCGCTTTCAGTGAGAATCAATGTAACAAAAAGAAAGCTATCCCCAACACAATAACGCCATGTATTGTACAGTGTGGTGCAGATGTCTTGTGACCCCCCCCCCCTCCATTTCATTCTCTAAAACTGAATATTGTATAAAGTAAGGTTTATTTAAAACGGAAATGAATATGCAAAGGAGGAAAGAAAATGTTAGGGGTCAAATTAATTGGGGGGTCAGGAGACATCTAAACCCCCGCCCTGTGCAGTATACGTGCACCTATGTGATGCGTGTGAATTGATTGTGTAATGTGTGCGCGTGTTGTTGTCACAGACCAAAACACACAAGTGTACTGTATGTGTGTATTCTCTGTACTTACGTGCGGTGGTGTTGATATACCATCAATCACCCCCCCCCCCCCCGATCGCCCCATCACCAACAGATTACCGCAAGTACATAAAATGTAACATTTTGAACCACATGACAAATTGTGCACAATTTAACGCGCTCGTGTGCATTTCATCACATCCGTTATATCACATAATGCACTGTAAAGTGTGAACTGTGCAAGTTACTTCATTACATTTATACTATTCTTGCGATTTAAATACTTTGATTTTATGTAATAGCTCATCTGGTGTGGTGCAATGCGAAATCCGGCTAGCTGGGGTCCGGCTGGACGTGAGTTTTTTTGTCTCCGAGATGATGATGATGATGATGCTGCTGCTGCTTATAATAATTATTTTTTCACAACTGAAAAAAAAAATCCAGGACTTTCTTTTTTATGTCCCGTGGAGAGTGATAGATTTCCCAGGGTGATAGAAAAAAAGGTACCTTGAACAGAGAACGATTCTGGGACGGGTTTCCACACTGCCGTGCCAGCATTCTGCGGGCCTTGCTCAGCCTCATCTGCTATCGAACATCTGTTCGACTACTGGACGTCTGGGAACAAACAAACAAAGAGCTTCATAGCTCATCGGATTCTTCCAGTAATAAATATTTGGATTGGTTATGAAATGGCAGAAGGCGTTGGGCAGGAGGAATCTAATGACATGAAAGAGGGGAGGACAAGAGACAGGACGAGAGACACGATTATCCAGTTGTCCGTCAGGGTCATCGTCTGAACGTTTGTGACTGTCGGCGTGTGATATTTCTCGGCCCTGCTGCTGCTGCTGCAGCAGGTAGCTTGTGTTTTGTGAGATTGTTGTTGTTGCTGCGTATAATTGTTTTTCGTTGGACGGGCAATTTAATCGAAATGTTTGGGTTCAAGAGGCATGAAGTAGGTGTGTGTGTAGAGATGGATGGGTGGACAATATGGCGATTGTGAAAACAACACGTACAGTAGACTAAAAATAAGAAGATTGTGGCTGGTGTTTTGAATTTTATTTGTGTAGACATTTGTAAGTGAATTATGTGCCGACAGAAGTGTAAATGTAAAAAATGGAAATGCGATTTTAATGATGCAGTAATTATAAAACGTACATTAATGAGGGCATGAACAATTTTTGTTTAATTTTTTACCAGGTAAGGCCCACTGAGCTAATTTCGCTCTATTTTTCAGAGACAAGCTGGCTATCACAAATGATAGCTCAACGAAAGTGGCTTACCGCGTTTGAAATTTAGAGCAGTCAAATAACTCTTAGAACGCATGATGTTCATTCTAAATGTGGAGGGGGGGGGGGGGGGAAACCGGGAAGGGACCCGGAGAAAAATAAAAGCATTGGCCAGTTACCAGGGACTGTATCAGCACGCGGTAGAAACGCGACGATGCAAAACAACACCAGCAGCTCATCGGATAGGTAAATAAAGATGGTGAGGGGGGTGGCGAACAAAAAAATCAATGGTGCCCTCATTGCTCATTTAATATTATTCTTGAAACAAAGACAACGCACATGGGGAGGCGGCGGCGGCAGCTCCACAAACTCCGGGCCCACCAAATCACGGCGCCCTCCATCCCAGATTTTACCTCGTGCCGAAGGCCATGCATACCCTATTATGTGACCTAGATTGCTGGGTGCAGCGAGATGGGAATTATGCAGATGGCTGTGTCACACCAACTCCCTCCCCATTCCCTCCCTCCCTACCTCCCTCCCTCCCCGCACAAGCACAGAACCCTTCACCCAACCTCCCACTCATCCCTTCCCTCCCTCCCTTACCTACCCACCTCCCTACACCCCAACCACTCTTCCTCTTTCTGGCATTCCGGTATTCCTGGAGGGATATTCCCAAAATAAATTGCCCAACGAAAGCGAGGCGGGCGGCTTTTTTTGGGGGGGGGGGGGCAGGCGGCTCGCAGAGCCTGGTGAAGTAATTGGCGGACGCGGCTGGAGCAGCGTTTGTTTGCTCCGTGCTTAATCGAGACACCTCTCTGTGTCTGTGTCTCTCTGTCTCTCAGCCACCCATCGCCGCTACCCCCAACACCCCCCCAAGCAGCCTGCTTGCCCTGACTGCCTGTCCACTTGCCCTCCCCATCTCCCACCGCCACCCCCACCACCACCACTCCTTTCCCTGCCATGCCCTCCCCTCCCTGCCCTCCCTTCCCTTCCTCCCCGTGGCCATCCCTGTAATGCAAAGTACAGTGCGTGACCAAGTGCATTTGGAGCAAAT